AATAGAAATCAAGTTTACGTTAATTTTTCATGCAATTTGTCTCTCTCAATATTTTAAAAATGTCATTATCTCGACAAATAATAATTCGTTAACTTACGGAGAGATCAAAGTGTTAAAAAAAGGTTTCTGAAATGCAGGGACCGAATCTATAAATTACTTCCAACACTCGTGTGGAGAAAGTGCCACTGTTAATCTTTATCTAATTTATAGATTTGGTCCCTGCATTCATGGATCTGATTCAAAATTTTCTTTTACATTTTAACCACTCCGCATATTAAGGAATTGCCCCACTTGAAATTATTGAACAAGTATATTTTGTTTTACCCTTTATTTAAAGAAGGAACTATTTTTATATATTTTGAATTCTTTTATATTATATATATATATATATATGTGTGTGTGTGTGAGAGAGAGAGAGAGAGAGATTTTATTCAACTTTTATTTTTTTGAGGGTTGTTTGTTTACCTATTAATAGTTTTATTAAAAGTTCGCATTTGAATCGCTAAAAGATGAATCTTGTTAGACAAATAAAGTCTGTTTACCCGAGTACTTAAATGCTTAAAATTTTACATCTTAGGTATCAAAATAGAAGTTTCAAAATACTTACCTAAAATAAAAATTAAGTTAAAATACGTTAATTTTTCAAACAATTTTAGAGTATGAAAATGATTATTTTAATTAATTTCTTTAAAATAAAAAGAATGGAGAAAACTGGGAATTGATGATAATTGGAGTAATTATCGAATGTTCCCGATGGGACATAATTGGACTATTGGAGGATGAGTAAGTTACATTTTTAGTCCTTATAGTTTGTTGAAAGTTTTTGTTTTTGTTTTTATAGTTTTGAAATTACAATCTTCATACCATGATTTTTAATTCATTATCTTTTTTCGTCCTTGTAATTTAAAATTTATTGCTTTTTTGGTCCCTATGATTTACAGTTCATTTCGATTTTTAGTTTTTCATGCTTAAAAATGGTGTTTTGACCCCAGCAACCAAAATATAAACGAATTACAAATCATAGAACTGAAAACCAAAGTCTTAAAACCAGAAGGACGAAATTCGTAATTTTTAGCAAATCATATGAACACTTCTAAGGGGCGTTTGGTTCAGGCAGATGAATGAAAATGACAAAGATTGAAAATGGGAATGAATTTTTATTTTCCTCGATTTAATCTGGAAAAAAATTGGCTTACAAAAGATTGGACCTATTATATTATAAGAAACCAAACAGTTTTTTTTATTTTTACTCTCATTAATTACTGCTTAATATCTCTTATCAAAGACCCCATTTTAAAGTTTATATGCTCGAATGGCTTGACTCGACTCGACTCGACTCGACTCGTAAAGTTTAGTTGAGCTTTTGAACGAGTCGAACATTGTGCAAATTGTGCAAAAGTTTATAATTCTGCGAATTGTGCCGGTTCCAATTTTATGTGGACAGAAAGGCACTATGAAGCTTCAAAAAAAACTGGGTCTTTACAAATTCATACCAATTTATTGAATTGTTTAAATTTTTATGTAAAAGATTTATAGGCGGGGTTAATCACAGGATAAACCTCAACAGAAAACTGAAGAGTAACGACAACAAGTGATTGAGTTCAGTAGTTTCCGTTAAGTTGAATGAGCTTTATTTTCTGAAAATATATTGTAAAAATAAGTTAATTATCTTTTGAGTAAGGGGCCATTTACCCAAATGTTTACTCGGTAAGTGCTTATCGATAGAAGTCTAACACTATAATTTATTTTGATGCGTAAGATGTTAGTACATCAAAACATATCGAATGCAACAATTTAATTGGTAAGTGCTTACCTTAGTAAGAATCGTTATCTTCATTTACCAGGTAAGACTCTTCAATTTTTTTCATTGCTCTTACCTGGTAAGATTCTTGGTCATTTTCATATTCATCCGATAAGCAAATTTATTCGGTAAGCACTTACCAAGTAAGTGTTTAGTAAATGACCCCTAAGGGGCCGTTTACCAAACGCTTACCCGGGTAAGCTCTTATGATATGTGTTGAGAATTTAACACATAAAACACTCATTTTACGTCTTTTTAGTTATAATAATTTCTTTTTATTCCCACTTTGAGTCATTTTCATTTATTTCTTTATACATTTGTTATTATGAAGCTAAATATTGTGGTTGACTTGTTGGTATGCTTGGATGAAACTAATATAGAGTTTTTGTGAAAACAGCAGTTGCTGCAGCATTGGTGCAGCGTCGATCTGATTCATGCACAGCTTGTTGGAGGGCTTAATGGATAAGACGCTGACTTTTTGGAAGGTGGAAGACAGCTGTAAAAGCTGGGTTTTTATTGAAAAATCTGATGTTAGACTTTGATTAGGCCTTTGTACTTTTTAGTTACTCTTTTGTTGGGTTGTAACTTACTTTTGGATACTTAGCCTACAAGTATTTTTATTTTGTTTTCTAGTGACCCCTTTTGGGTATAAAAAGAGGGCTTGTGGTGCCTTCTAAACCATCCATTACTCCTACTTTCATCAATTCCATTTGCTAGTATTGTAAACCCTCTCCAATGGTGGTTTTAATTAAGTTCTTGAAGTTCTTGATATTTTTCTTCTTTTACATTCTCGTCTTTTAATTTCCGTCATTTATATTCTCGTCTTTTATTTTCCGTAATTTACATTTCGTCATTTATTTTCCGCAATTTACATTATAGTCATTTACATTCCCGTCATTTATTTTCTCGTCATTTACATTTCCGTCATTTATTTTCTCGTCATTTACATTTCCGTCATTTATTTTCTCGTTATTTATTTTACGCAATTTACGTTTATATCTTTATTTTCCGTCATTTATTTTTTACTTTCCGTTATGAGTAGCTAAGCTTTTATAGCTTGGGTGTGAGACGGAAATGTGAGATTTTCAAACCGAACGAAAGTAGCTAAGTGTTTTCGAAAACGACGTTTCATTGTTTCATTCGAGTTTTTATAAAGCCAAGCACACTTCTTGACGAGTTGATCACTTGAAAGTGTTAAAGTGCGATGGACTTAGAGATAAGCCATCAATAAGCACGTCAACTCGGATGACATAAGAGGTAGACTTGATAAAGTTGCCGACAAGAAGACTTGTCATTTGTGTTTTTCAAAACTTAACTCCCGACGAGTTGGTCGCTCTTCAAAGGTGTCAAAGTGTGATAGATTCAGAGATGAACTATCAAGAACACGCCAACTCGAATGATATGAGAATCGACTCGAGAGAGTGATTTTTAACAAAGAGATTTGTTTATTCATATATTTTGAAAACACCATCGTGTCACTATCCCCGGTCCGGACACAACATAGAGATATGGGTGGAAAGCTATAAGATAGTGCAATGGTGAAGTCCGAGAGGAATGCCTTCAAAATAGATGGTGGAACTTA